TAAATAAAATATTATAATAATTCAAAATAAATAAAATTTGTTGAGACAGAGTTACAGTCATACAAAGCGACCCGTATGCGTTCTATGTGGGTTAATGATGATGGGTTAATTAGCGCCTAGACAAAGTCACGGCCAGCGGTTAGTTTAAAAATAAATAACAACCAAGTATTTGCGTCAGCGGAATCATATTTATCACAATTGAATGATATGTTACGCCTACGTGTCTGGGACATCCAGACCCTGTAGAGATCCTTGTAAAAGAGATTGTTCAATGGAGTTCTGCCACCATATCTAGCTTGGCGATAGGAATAATTAAGGTGGGGCTCCTTGCCACTAAATTTGAGACCTAGTTTCAGACCAGACCATTTTGATATATAATAAGATTTAAAGAACAATAAATACAGTAGAACTGGTTAGTTAGCGTCCAACGCGTGCCAACTATATTGCCCTGATAAGCCGAAAAACGCTACCACAATCGGAGTAAGTTTTGAGAAAATCGACTGTTTGTAAATTGGATTTTGGCACATTCGAAAACAATCAACATCTTCAAAAATAAATCTTTTTGAAGATGCTAAAACTTGACTAATAGATTTATTGACATACCTTAATTATCCATAAATTGTACCATTATACCTATTTTGTGAGATACCGCTATTTTGATTATAAAGAAGAGTTTCAAAAATTGAAAAAAAAAAAAATTCTAAGTGGTTTTTTAAATGTTTTAACTTAGATAGCGCTACTTCTATTGTACCATTCGACGCGAAATTATTATAATTATTGAATGGTATAAAAAAACTAAAAGGGCGTGACCTATCTAAGCTCAGATTAAGATTCAGATTCAGATTCATTTATTTCTCAAATATAACATTACAAACTTGTTTGACAAAATTACAAATTGCACTACATGTCAAAGTATAAGAAATTATATTGAGATCGTCAGACAAAAAGGAAAATTATAAGAAAAGTACACAATAATTAGAAAATTAACAATTCATTATATAATATTGTTGTCATTAAATTATATATCAAATATCATTCTCCATCAAGGATCGTCATAAGTTGATAACAATTATACAAGAGTATGTTAATGCGGTAAAAATTAGAATAAAAATAGAAAATACTGAATTCGTTACAATTTAAAGTGCATAAATTCTTTTACGGAGTATATAGGATTTTTCAAGAAAAGGTCTTTCAGCCGGCGCCTAAATATTTCGTCAGACGGTTCAATTCTGAGAGTAGCGGGTAAACGCTCATAGTAAGTAGGTCCGATGACACGCGGGTTTTTCTCTGCAAGTGCCATGCGTCGAGGGACTGTTCTCAAATGACCGGTACGGCGAAGTGGGATGTCCGAAACATTTACAGTACCAAATGAAGACAGATTATTTCTAACATACATTATAATTTCGTATAAGTAGAGTGAGTAGTCCGCCACTTTCGCTTTGTATGGTATGGCTCTGTCATTCTTTCGTGCAAATTCTCTAAAATCATATAAAAATGCCTTATTGTGCTGTTTGGAGTGCAACAATGATAGCAGTAGCAGAAATATTATCCGTGGTGGTATTTCATATCATCGGACGGAAAGCCTTATTTTAATAAATTTTAAATTTTGTCTTTATCGAAATAATTTGTTTGTTACAAAAAACGAAAGTATAGCTTATACCCCTTTTTTAGGTCGATTCTTTTTTGGCGAAAAGGTATTGACGGTATTAAAATTTCATCGATATGCCAACAGAGTAAAATGTAAATTATATTAGCAATCCAGAATTTATTATTTCTTTTTAAATTTGAAACTACGACCAATCAGTATCAAGATTTTGTAGTGCTTCAGGTTAAAAATGTGTGAGTTTTAGCGACATCGGTTCTTATAGTAATCGATGCTTAAGGCACTACCATTGCTTTTTTCTTCCGTAGTTCTAACAGATATTACAAACCATTTCGGAAACAACATCAGAAAGCGAGCAAAAAATTGAATCCGCGTGCGTTTTTTTTTCCTTTGCAGACGTCAAAGGAAGTAACTTAGTCTGACAACTTCATGGACGTAATAAACGACTCCGCGTAAGTGCTTCGTTTTAAGAATTTTGAAACGTACAAAGTGAGTGTTTAAACTTTTTGTCTACGTTACTTATTTTCATGCTATTGTCTGCCTTTATCACAATTCCTGTCATTATCAACCGATTATATTCGTCTCTTCCAAGGAGAAGGTTTTTTATCCCCAAATAAATACGTAATAGTTTCGACTAGTGAATTGATATGCGATCTGATACATCACATACTTGACATGCGCACGAGTTAAGATGATCGGGTGTTTGTTTTGTCTAGATTAGTTTGAATTTGAACCTTGCGTAACTTTATTTATTAAATTCTAGAATTGCAACTTTTAACACGTACATTGTTACTTTAATTAGTATACAAGTTCCATTGCAGTAATACTCGAGGTTCTTCTTGTATCATACTTCAGACTATACAATAAACTAGCTCCCGTAGCCTTTTACTTTTCGACGAACTTTAGAACCTGTACACACGGCGTATTTTAAACGCGACGAAGCAGAATTTTCAGAAATTTAGAAGCAGTCGAGCGCCTTGCGAAAGAGTTGTTTAGGGTAGTACTGACACCTTACCTATTTCTGCCGCCAGGCAGTAATGTCAGCATTACTGTGTTCCGGTTTTGAAGGGTGCTGGTGAAATTACAGGCACATGGGACTTGTCAAGTTATATCCCAGAGTGACGGGCGCTGTGGTAGTGCCCCTCAGATCTTTGCAATTTAAAGCTCTGAGTGGCACTGTAACTGTTATGGACAGGCGTGTAGCTTCGCTTGATGTTATAAAAAAAATTAAACATAGCGTTGCAAGCATTGACTTACAATTATATGGACGTCGGGTCCGCGCTAAAAAGTGTCCGAACTTATAGGGCGTTAAAATCGTATACAGAGCGTCATTCACGCTTTAGTCTTCGTTTGTTCGACTGACAGCGAAGCAAGCAAAATTAGACAGTACTGCGATGACATTACAATTTAAATCTTACGTTTTAGCTTTTTCATATTCCTTTACGTGTCACTACGCTTAAATAGGTTGACTTGGGACATTTTTTTCGTGGTTTTTGTATTAGACCCGTCGTCTATTTATTTGTAAGTCAATGGTTGCAAGCAAGAAGCTTATATACTACACTGGAATTAACACTTAGGGTCGTATTCTAGAACTCTACTCAAAACTCAAGTCAGGACTTGAGTATTGCAGTGAGCACTGAAAATCATATTGAAGTCCTTGCCATTAAGGTCATATTTCCAGTGCTTGAAATCATACTCAAGTCTGCTCAAATCCTGACTTGAGCATTGAGTAGAGTTCTGGAATACGACCCTTTGACTTTCATGTAGTTGCTTCATTTCAAAAACTAACTGAAATTAACAAACAACACTAAAATTAAAACTATCTCTTATCAGAATGCGCGACACATACGTGCGACTACAAGCGTATACGCGCAGACGACGCGAGTTTAGCATTATATTTAGCCGCTCACGCGATGCGCTCCTCCAACCGCAAAATGGCGGCTATTTGGTTTCGCAAATTAGAAAAGCATTCAGTTTAAATACAAGTTTTTATAAATAAAAATTATTATTCTGCATTGCTAAATAAATACCCTCCGTACTACCAACAAAAACATCTCAAATAAAATGCAGTAATACACCGCAAATCCTGCACTTAAAAAGCACTAATGAAATTTCTGGTGTACTTGGATAAATAAGATAATATTCCGTTTGAGTGGTTCTAACGTTTACCATGAAATTACTCCTTAAAGTATAGTTTATAAACATTTATATTCAGGGTAAACTTAAAAAACGCTACTTACGGTATGTTTTACGCGCACAGGGAGCTCTACTGCTAACTTTAGATACCAGTAGATCAGTATCCGAAACTAACACAAACACTAACTACGCAAATGTAGGAAATGAAACTAATTTTCCGGATTTATATTTGTTCTTCAAACAAACCAACGTTCGGGCCCTTTACAGGTCCCAAGTCAACTGTTTAATTTCCTGTGTGTAACAATCGCGAAAACGTAAGGACTCGATATACACAAAGTTTTGTTACTATTTCCGTTTATTCAAGGTTTACTTGAGCCTTGAATGAACGGAGTATTCCTACTAATACTTTGTTCGGTTACCAATGACACTGCCCTTATGTGTGCGAGCCACGTGTTTTACAAGATCAATACGATCACGGTATCCCGTGCCAAGAATAAAGTTCAAGGTTTGCGAAGTGGGCGTTTTGTTCCTGTTAATACTACACTTCCGTAGACTCAGTAACATAAATATTGGCCAATGTATGTTGTTCACGCAAGATTCCGTTAGATGGCATTAGCCCCCTTTACACAGTCACTCCTAAAGCCTGCACGCGCAATCGTGCGCGATTACCTGTTTGAATATTTTAAGCTAACGTTCTTTCGCACGCGATTGCTCGTGTTCGTTTACTTCGTTTTTGTTACAACGGAAAGAGAGTCCGTGTAAAGGTTAATAGAGCAGGATAAATCGCGTGATTTTACGCGTGTCGGCGTGCGCGACTGATATGCGCAAACGCGCGGTCTTTCCCTTTTCCTTCCGGCTCTCGGTCTGTATTTACACGTGCGCTCATTGCGCACGATTGCTGTATCACGCGCGATATAGTCCCTGTGTAAAGCCCGCTATTTTTGCTTTTATGTTAGTTATGTTAACATTTAAATGTAGCCGATTGTATCTGTCAACTTACCCAAAAAAGATCTAACTCCTAAAGTTCCTCTGGACACTGACAGTATCATGGCCAAAGTTGATACTCCTCCGCTAGCGAAGATGTATGCCCGTTTAACGCCCCCAGGGGCATTTGCGTCCCTGCGCCGTTGCCATAGGGGCGTAAATGTGGATATACAGATGAATAGAATGAAAACTATGCACTCCCATGCCAGCAAGCCGGTGTTCATTTTGGATCTGAAAAGAAAACAATCATGTTATCACGCAATTTGGAAGCCAAATTCGTAAATCGGTTGAAAAAGAAGTACCGCCCACCATCTCTCTCTAGAAGTACCGCCCACCGTCTCTATGTGGCCACGGATAACGCAGTCAAGTTGGTAACATACTATTCAAAGTTAATATAAAATAAAAGGACTATCCAATAAAGAAGAAGATAGTTCTTAAATATTTAGCAATTGGCCGTTGGTAGCCGTGATTGCGCTATCGGAAAAAGGGATGAATTGAAGACTTTAGACTGAAGCTTAGGACTTCCTCATTCAACGCCCGCAGAGCAAACTCTAGGCCGTCGATGTTGTCATTCAATTAGCTGTTAAGTAGCTTTTGTGAGTGAAAATAAAATTGATATACATAGCCCTAGATACTAAGCAACAAAGATGTTTGTTTTCCTACTTAACTCAAAATAGCCTAGGATCTTTCAAAGTCTGAAACATTTCTTGTCGGAAATATCATTTTAACATGTTGATGTTGTTGTTGTTTTTATCCACTCCTTCCGTAAAGGAAAAGGCAAAGAATTGACAACTTACACCCAAGTCTTGGTAATTTTTCTTCTTTTTAATAAAAATAGGCATACGCCAAGTCTTCAGGCCATTGGAGGCACTTGACATTGATTTTGTATTGAAACCTTAGAGGATGGAAAAAATTTAAACGTTGCTGTCGTTTTTTTTTAATTCTTTCCTTAAAGGAAAAGGCAAAGGTTTGAAACCATACAACCAAATAAGTCATGGTGAATTTTTTTTTTATCTAATTTTTTTCCATCCTTTATGAAATAGATACACGCCATCTTCAGTCCATTATTTTTATTTGGTTGAACGACACCTAAAAAAATTAATTTCACGCCTCATGCAGCCCGTGCATATATTAGTTTGTACATTATTATTAGAAATTTATGTTTATCCTCAAATCATCTAAATTTTATAGGCAAAGATATGTTGTATTCTCCTATAACAGAACATAAACGTAACAACAAAAATAAATATAAATTAAAAGTACCTTTTCTAAATTAAAATCAATCAGTAACAACCCACGTTTTCTTTACGTTATCTTGATAACAAAAAAATATATCCCAATTAAAATCAAATGCAATGAAAAATACAATGTTTATTAAGCATTTAAAACAAATGCTAATTAAAAACTTTTACTAGGTATGTTATTTGTAAGGTTTACTGGTAGTTTAGCCTTAGAACAGGTTTTTCCTTTTTTTCGACATTTATGTCTAATATGTGTGAGAATTGAAATTTTGGAGTTGATCGACATTTTTCTTTAGACTTTAAGGTCGAAACAGACGTAAGTCTAAAAATCTAAGAATCAGGCCCATCTTTATTTTTGTCTTTAACGACTTTTTTGTCGTAGCGCCATCCGTGAGATATCTATGAAAGTATGTCTTCCGACACAATCAGAATTGTTATATGAATAAAGAGATAAACCCTGAAGGAGGAACGGTATTA